CAATAAACCGCTGTTATTCATAAAATACTTTAAATAAGATCATGAAACTTTGTAATACTAACTGAACTAACTATAAAGCAGTGCTTATGTTATTTACTTTTTTTAAAATACCATTATTAAATAAGATCATGAAACTTTGTAATACTAACTGAACTAACTATAAAGCAGTGCTTATGTTATTTACTTTTTTTAAAATACCATTATTTTCACTGTAAAAAGAAATTACCTAAACTATCGGCGCGTAAGCTTGATTCCTGTCGGCCCGTTAGTATCGCTCCGGCTTTTTAAGGGAGAAGTTGTGTCGCTTACGATCAGAATACACATTACGCAACAGGACGACGTAAAATTAAAATGGGTAATAACCGTTATAAAAATAAGAAGCGACTGGGTTGGCGTTAAGAAACAGGCATAAATATGATAAACCTAATGAAATAAGTATCTAACGACCTATCTACTTACAGTATTAGTGATTACAAACATGGTACATAGCATACGACGCGCGGGGAAGTGGGGGCGAAATTATAATTTGAGCTGACTTACTCTATCCTCTTAATGCAGTGTTTCGTATGATGAGTGTAGAGAACCGCAGACCCTTTTAACTTGAAACGAGGCGTTCCATCTTAGTCTGCAAGGGTGACAGCGCATCTGCATTTTGACTCTTAACCGAGGATAGATGTAGATGTCTATGGGTCACAGAATATACTAACCATGAGGTGGACTGTGAGTTATCGTTAGTCACCTATATTCAATATTCACCCATATTCAATAAAAAATATATAACCAACAAAACACAGAAACACCTGTATCCAATTGTCGCAAGCGCTTTTGCGATATGCTCCGTTATGAAATAACTAATTTACATTTGAAAATATTTATGAAATTAATGTCATAAAACTAATTGCCATTATATCGTAATGCAAATCCCGCTTTACAAATCACCTTTCCATAAGAGTGGTAATCAAATCAAACTTTTGTTCATTTAAGATGTGTTTTGGTTGTTTACGTATCGCTGCATCCAAACCTACTTCGGTTTAGATTTAAAAAAGAAAAGAAATTTAAATTTAAAGATTAAGACAAATTCATACAGAAATTTTCCTGTTATATTTTTATTTAGGTCACACGTTTAAAATTCATAATATCAGATATCTACAGATCCACCTTTTTAGTGACAGGTGTTTAATCATTATTATCCTCAGAATTTAAACAGATGGCTTATGGAAGTCGCAGATAACTTTATTTGTCGCATAATCCCTGAGTTTGGAAAGTAGAGTAGCGACCTTAGTCCAAACATCCACTACTTGATGCTGCTATACGTCGTCGTACGAGTACAATAAGAGTTAATAGTAAACTGTCAGTCGTAAGACTGTAGGTCAGAGGTGAAAACTTCTTAGCTATATAAACTTGTAAACATTATTTTTGCGTTGTGAAATATTTTTAGGAAGTATTTTTTATTAGAAGTTATGTTTATCCGTGGTAGCTGGTATCCGTGGTAGAGCCGTGGTAGCTCAGTGGTTAACGCTCGCTGTAAATATAACAGAACGCGAGTAACCCGGGTTCGATCCCCGCCGGCACCAATGAAATTGTTAATTGCAATTTTAAGTGCTGATTTACCACGTGCTCGGCGGTGAAGGAAAACATCGTGAGGAAACCTGCATGTCTGAGGAATAAGAAAAAAATATTTCGAAGACATGTGAAGTTCGTCAACACGCATTTGGGCAGCGCGGCGGACACTTCCTTGCCCTAAAACCCTCTCAGAAATGAGGGGAGGCCTGAGCCCAGCAGTGGGACGTATATAGGCTGTAACTTTACTTTACTTTTAACTTTTATGTTTATCAGCGCATTAATATAGTAAACATTTTTTTAAATTTATTACAAGATCCACAGCACTAGTTACAATGTAAATGAAACTTAAGAAATAAACTTACAGCCAATAACGGATCTACTTTATACCTACATTTTTAACTTATATTAATCGACCGACAATCAATAAGTTTGAGCCACAAAAATATACTATTTTAGAATTAATAGATCAATATAGAATTTTCATTTATTGATCTATTTTACAAGAAAAAGAATTATTATTATCTATACAAACAAACTTTAAATACATATCAATTTTATAAAATGTCATCAATAGGATTTTCAACATTACTTTCATCATTTTTGTGTACCTGGATTGGTTTATCACGAGCCTGAATAAGTGCTTACTCCAATAATGTCCTCCAGACCGAATTTTGGTCACGGCGGCCAGTCTCAACGGAGACTAGCCATCTGCGCAGGACAGGACTATAGCGCCCAAGTGTGCGCACAGGTGCACTCTTTATTCCCTCACTCTCATAGTCCGGAAAGAGCTCAGGCGCAGGACCCACAGCTTTGCGTGTCTTCCTAAGCACAGAAGTGAAACACCACCAACTTTGTAACTCCGGTCTGCTACTGAGAATTTCTTGACAGAAAAACCCAATAACTGATTTCTGACACGACCCGGGAATCGAATTCGCGTTTGCAACCACTAAACAATCAATAAGAGTATAATTATAATACTGGCCACAACTCTAGAAAAATCGATGGTATTATAATGAAAATAAAAAAAATATCTTTCCCTTGATTTTACGTTTCCGAAATGAAATACATTTAAGAGAACCGGACAAGTACGAGTATGATTCACGCCCAGAAGGTCCGGGATAAACTTAATTGTTTATGTAAATACTTCATCCGTTCTGGAAAATATAGGTAAGTTAAACACTAAACATTGCTCAAACGCAAATGTAAGTCGGCTCATAATCTCCCATACATCAGTCTGCATGACGTTGTATTAAATAACCACAAATTACCTAGTTTCGTACTTTTTATTTCACTTGTGCTATGAATAATGCCGTCTTAGGCCATACCGGGGCCCTTGGGCACACAAGAATTTGGGGAAAGTAAAAAAAGTGAATGACAGAAACATTTTTCTGCTATGATCATAAATTCATTATAGTCAATTGGTTAAAATCAAATAATATGTCATTAATGAGAGCTCCACGAGTTTTTCTGGTTAAAATACGAAGTTAAAATATTTGACAGATTTCATAGATAGCGGGGACGATAATTTCTTAGTAAAATGTAAACTTTAATGTTTATTTCCTAAACTTTCTTTCAAAAAAGGAAAATATGCTATAAATTATCAATTCGTGGTATTCTTTTTATTTATTGCATTAAACTTCACATGTCCTAAAATAAGGATGATAACAATTATTTGCTCTAAAATCTTATATTAGTGGTTGAAAATTGCCATATTAAATAAATCATTTGCCGTTAAATCTATAGCGTGTAGAAGTAAGGAGTACCAACTCCCATAGTAGAATAGTTGAAAAAGTGTCCATCTGTAAGCGGTAAATAACAGTTCATAAACTCTCCACAACAGCGCTGGAGTAGCTACTGGAATGAAATAAACTTAGCAGTGGTCGACGGTTTGAAGTGTACTGCTAAACTGCTCAGTAGCTCTAAAATGTAAAATAATTTTATTTAGTAAATATAACCTCGAAAAAGTCGTCTATTCCACTGCACTGTGTATTAAAAAGTGTCCATAGAAAACCGTTAAATAAGGGTGGCGCCACTATACCTACGGGCTAAATTATAAAGAACGTGCCGAAAAATATTAGTAGGATGGACGACTTTTTCGAGGTTATATTTACTAAATAAAATTATTTTAGATTTTAGAGCTACTGAGCAGTTTAGCAACACACTTCACACCGTCGACAACTGCTAAGTTTATTTCGTGTAGCTGTTTCCTGTAGCTACTCCAGCGCTGCTGTGGAGAGTTTTTGAACTGTTATTTATTGCTTACAGATGGACACTTTTTTCAACTATTCTCCTATCTCCTAGGAGAGATTGTTCTCCTTACATCTACACTCCATAGTTCTCCTGTTCTCTAACCTTCATGAGCATGCGTGATTGCATCGCCATGTTAAGCCCCGAGTTTTGTGGTAGATCTGCTGTCAAACTGTTGAATGCTAAAAGTTTTTTGTTGTTTAGTGCAGTGCCTTCATCTTATTAGTAGGTGTTTTTCTTCTATGTACCTATATTTTATTATGTTACTAGATTACCCTAACCACCTAAAATTGATTTGATTGTAACTCTTAATTGAGAGGCATTTCTTAGTTTTTGCAAAACTAACGTACGGCAGTTGATTTTTAAATTAAAATAATTTTGTGAAGCATAATTTCAGCACGTCACGTGTTATAAATACTTTTATAGCTTGACAGTAATTCAATGTATGAAGTTGGGGGAGAAAAAACAAAAACTTTATCTTTCAGGAGTGACCTAGGTATGTCTCTATTAGAGTCGTTATTTAAAAAAAAACCTTATCAATTGCTATATTAGAATGTTTTGTGGGATTTATGGCAGAAAATGGTTCAGATACCATGCAATAGAAGAAGTGACAAACTGTCTTTTAGAAATTATATATAAATTTTTTTTCAGAAATGAATTAATAATAATAGTTTATAATTCTATTTATTTCATTTTATTTTATTTTATTTTTTATTTTATTTTATTTTATAATTCAATTCTAGCGGTTGGATCACTAATGACGAGTTTTTCCTATTTATGCAGCATTTTATCAAGCACGTTAGACCTTCTAAAGAATTTCCTATTCTGTTGGGTTTAGACAATCATTCTTCGCACTTATCTGTACCAACACTAGATTTAGCTAAAGAAAATGGAGTGGTCATGCTCTCTTTCCCTCCACACTGTTCTCACAAATTACAGCCACTTGACGTGTCGGTATATGGCCCTTTTAAAAGATATCTGTCTTCAGCTCAAAATGCTTGGATGCGGAATAACGCTGGAAAAACCATGACCATATACGATATCCCTGGGATCGTCCGCACTTCTTTACCTTTAGCTTTGATACCGAGTAACATAATGAGTGGATTCGAAAAAACTAGGCATATTTCCCTTTCAACCAACATAAATTTAATGACGCTGATTTTGCATCTAGTTACGTAACGTACCTTCTTATGGAAACTGTTAGTAATGAACCACAGCCTTCGACATCGTCCACTCCTCCGCCAACAATATTGTCTAATCCACAACCTTCAACACCGTTAGATCCGCAGCCATCATCATATGATGCACAGATATCAACATCAGTTGATCCACACGAATGTTTTTCCCCCGAAATCGTGCGACCACTACCTAAAGCCGGACCACGAAAGTCAACTATTAATAGGAAGCGCCGAAAAACTGCTATTTTGACGGATAAATCAGAAAAAGAAAATCTACGTAAAGAACAAGAAACCTTGAGTAAGAAAAAGGCTAAAGGTGTAAACAAGAAAAGCAAAGCAGCTAAAAGAGTTGAGAAAGTAAAAAAAGCTATTTTACAAGAGGTTAATAGTGATTCCAGCTCTGACGATGAATGCTTCTGTTTGATTTGCTGCGAGAAGTACAGTGACAGTGTTCCAGGCGAAGGTTGGATTCAATGCAATCTTTACAAACAGCCCTGAAAAATGTATCTCAAACAGGCATTTACTTTGTTTGTATTAACTGTGATTCAGAAAACGATGAGTCTGATTAAGATAATATAGAGATACCAAGACATGTTGATTATGTTAATTTGTTGAAGTTAATAATTAAAGAAGAGTTTAATTTTTGTGTTACGGTTAAAGAAGTATATATTGTTTTATAAAAAATTGTTTGTTAAAAGTTTTTAAAAGATTATGTAAGATTAGTTGTAAGATTTTAAATTCAGACTATGTCATCATTCATAATGAATAGTGCTGTCTTGTTTAATTGTATTCTTCAATAGAGACTGATTAGTGATTAAACTATTATAAGCTCAACAAAGTTAGAAATTATTAGTTCGACTGTTACTGTTATAATACATTTAGAAAAAAATTAATTTTGTTTGGTAAAAAAATATTTTCTTTTAGAATAGAGACTTTTTAAATAATATGTATCTTGGAATTATAATAAAGTTTTTGGTTTGTTTAAAAATTACAATATTTTTAACTTTTTGTTTTTGGAATAAAAATAAACGACTGAATTTTATTGAACCAAATATTGTTTTAGTTCCATAAAATCGATTTTAAATAAAAATTAAATACTGGACCTTTTTTGCCTCCTGCCTGTCCCTTTTTACCCCTACTATGGGGCAAAAAGGGACAGACGACAAGGTCTAAAAAAGTTGTAGAAACACATATTTCTATTATAATAATTCAACTGAAAATTGAGTCAAACATACTCAGATAACTGTTTGATTAGTGTTATCTATTTTGATATAGTAGAGTCAGTTTTCACAGTATTATTCGAAATAGTCAAATTGGACCTTTAAGCCCCGCCCTAGCCTAAAACTCTGACTGATCATGGAACGGTGGATGAAAATTGAGGATAATATCCTGGATATCATATTCATTATCGAATTTTGCGAAAAATAATATTTTTCATTTAAAATCTGAATGAATAAATAAAATATGATATATAACTTCCTTGTATAACTTACAATTTGTGATGAATTATGTGCAGAACAATTATTAATAAATAAGTACTAATTTTTAAAACAATTTATATTTATATTAATTTTTACTTAACTAGTAATTATTATTTTATATTAAAATATAAAATAATAATTACTAGTATATAAAATATGAGATCGATAATCTCCATCCCAGTAATTCCTTAAACACAAAAGAAGAATTTAATTTCTATCTACACAAAAGCCATAAATCTGTCAGTCACATTTATTCGCCAGATTTATTTGATGATTGAAAATTAATATTAGTTGAGAAAAAATTCATATTAGTTAAAATATCGATATCAGCTGCGCATATTGCTGAGTTACAACCCTATAAAAGGTATGCCCAGTCCATATACTTTTAAGTCGGTGGTACAATCCGACAAAAACGTTTAGATGGCGGCGAAACGCGGAACTACATATTTTCTACCTAGGAAATCTGTCAATGTTATTTTTTCTGGCTAACTCGGCAATGTGTGGTTTGTCACTGCTGAGGGTTGCCAGAAAGTTACTAACAACGCCATCATTTACTCTATAATTTTTTTTGTCGGGTTATATTTTCCTAGCATATAAAAAAATATTGTATAGCGTATGCGAAGGTGCCGCTTATTATTCGTGCCCTGGGCACGGGCATCGTGTTGTGGTAACGGTACTGGCTATGAGACCTTACTTTTTGCTAAATTACATAATTCTAGGTCAACACCAAGTATCCTATAGGTTTTTATGAGTGAGTTTGCGAGTGCAAAATATTTGTCGTTTATTTTTATTGCGTGTGCTTAGAAGTTTGCAATGAAGTGAAAATATTATTTATCTTAAATATTCGTATCTTTTGATTGCGTCGGTTTGAATTTTTATACCTGTAAGGACTTCAGAACCTAGGGTTTGACCCAGTTATGGTAATATCAAGTCGATAACTCTACTCGATTTCGCAAAAAACTGACTGACGGACAACAAAACAATATTATGCAGTTTCCAGTTTTCCTTTTCAGGGTCGGAACCCTAAAAAAGAACTTGCTCTCGACAACTATTTAATGTATAAAAATAATATTATCATTATAGCACTTAGAAGACAATTTTCTAAAACGCTTTTGTAAGTGGATGTTTCAGCCAATGCTTTGAGTCGAACAATGGCGGGCACTTGTGTTATTACCATCCTTACCTTATTGTTTTTACAACTAAGAACTATTGTAGGCGACCCAAAGTTAAGAGATGTAAAAATTTTTGGTGTAAATAATATTGGTACGATCTTCCTTTTACTTAATAAAATTTATTCTTTTCGGTAACAAAGGTTTTTTTGCATTTTTATTTATTTCTTCATTTTAGTATTTATTTCCGCGCACTTTTTATTGTTAGTCGTAATGAATAAGTTTAACTTAGTTAAGTAATAGTAATAAAGTTAATAGTAGTAGTAAATTATTACAATCAATTATTAAGTTAATAGTAACAAGTTGATAAAATATATTAATTATTCATCGTTTTAAAGTTGAATACAAAAACGTAATAAAATAGCATCTATAAACTACAAAAGTATGTAAATAATGCTATTATCGACATCTATATTTCTAGGTTTGATAAAGAAAAATAAAATATTTGCAATAATACATTGTGTTGCAAATAGCTTAAAAATCGGACTAAATTTATAATTTTATTAACTTAGGTAATTAAATAACTAGATGCTTGGTAGTAAGGAGGAAGTAACATTTTAATTTTGTTTCAATATTTTCTCGTGTAATGTTATTACGTAAATTAGAGGGTAAGTTGTTTATTAATCGAGGAACTAAATAAGTAACTGATCGTTTGGCGTAGATGGCGTAGATGTCATTAGCACGGGTAGTATAAAACCAAATTTGTGCGACTGCTCGCGTATACTACGAAATGTTTAAGTTTTTCAGTAAGTTTTTTATTAAAAAATTGTTCTTTGAGTAATCTATATTTGAATTGTGTTTAAAAATTGTTAAAATTTTACAATGTTTAGATAATTTAACATTATCGCTTTGAAATCTTTTCTTAATGTTTGGAGATAATATGTGCTTAAAAATTTTTAGGTGAAGCCAATATATTTGATTGAGATATGTTTTATATGTGCGCTCATAACTACTGAGCCCGTATTGTGTAAAAATTTTATCCAATTAGTTATAGAGCATTAACTTTATTTTGATGGATATGCGTTTTACGAATTATAATATTCGGCAAAAATTGCCTTACCTTATTACAAACGTATCTTATATGATATTGAATTTGTTATCTATAACAAGATATGTCTGGGTGTCCACAGTTTCTATGAGGGAGCAGTCACATACATTGTCCGGGCGTGCAAGCAGTTAATTAGCCACTGGAATTACGGTTATAACTTAATTATTAGGTAAAATTTTGTGAACATAATTTTCAGTGAAAATTTATTTTCATATTTCAGGTATCTTGCCAGACAGAGCAAACCGGGTTGAAGATATATATCTACGCTATTATAACGGGTACGATTATATTTATAGTCAGTCATTTTTAAACATTATTTATTAAGTTTATGTGTATTCTGTCTATGCTTTGAAAATTTGATGATGATAACAACACTGATGATTATGTCAAATTAATCAATAGTCATTATTATATAAATCACATAACATTCTTCAGTATTCCTGCAGTCAAAGATAATTATAGTTGATCTTGACTAGGACAGTATTTCACAGATGATTCCGGTTAAAATTTATTACATTCCAGCAAAACGTATTTGAAAATAATAAACTTATATGTATTCAGAATTTAAACAGGGCACTATCTATTTTTATATTAGCAGATAAGCACAAAAACAGAAAACAAGAAACCGAATCCAGAATAAAAATGCTTTGTTACAAAATTTTGTTTTCTATATTTTTTTAAAATATTTTTTTACATTTCGTGACAAAGGAATTATGGGGGAGAGATAAGGGATGGACGAGCCGACTTTCATTCCTCGTACGATATCGAAAATACACTTCCGTTTTGTAATTAGAATTGAAATGGCTTCGTTAAAGAGTCAATGCCGAGAATCCTTTTAACGAACATCAAAAGCATTCGCTCGGAATGAATCCCCGTATTAGTTTGTTTTGAAGTGGGAAAGCAATTAAACGTGTATAACGCTGAAGTATTAGATAGTAAAAGAGTTTTCAACTAGTTTCAGTAAAAATTTTAATCCTTAAATTTATTGTTCTTGCTCATTTATGGTCATATTAGATAAGATGAATGTTAATGATAGTACTGGTTTTTAATGATTCTTGGTTTATTTTCTACTGAGCATGCAAACTTAAGAAACTTATAATGTAATAAGTAAATTAAATTGACGAACTGTCCTTCTATTAGTTACGTCACGAGTGTTTCTTCCAACGTTGGCAACTAAAATGCTATAAGAATGTATTATGTTGGTACAAAGGTTGTATCTTGGTAGAAAAATACCTAAAGCTTTTAGGTGTAAATGTACATATCAATTTTTTGTATAAATGCCAGTTCAATCCCTTCATGTAATTTCGGAAAAATCGTTTTTCAAACAGTATTTCCGAGTCTTCCTTGGTAGGGATAGATGGTACGGCATAGCTGTCCATTCAGTTTCGGAATTTCCGTTTGTCTTTGATAAGGTGTGTGGAAGTTGAGTGTCGCGAAACCAATGTACTCAGATGATCTCCACCTCACATATCCAAACCGTAGTAACTCGTTACCCTGTAGTTTTTCAAGATATAATGATTCAAGATTGTATGCCGAGGCTGCTACGCACGTGAATACAAAATATTGTATATCTATCTTATCGAGACTCATAAATCTACATAACCATGGCTGCATTTTCATCTCGACAACATGAATCATATTGTTACGAGCTTGAGGTTCGTGACAATAAAAATTGCCGATAAAATTACCTAAATTAACACTTTAATTTTCTTTACACAAATTTAAACTTAAAACACTAATAATTAATCACACTGATTCACTTTATTCCGCTTCGAAGCTTCGCTTGTCTCGCCAAATTCAATACTTCCCCGATCGCGGCATGCAACGGGTTTAAATACACTTAGTACCGAAGCATCCGGAACATTCAAGTAAATACGCGCACCAATCGACGAGGTAAGTTCGAGAGTCAGCTTCTAAAAGCTTAGTTCTTCCTTTCGACAAAGATGGCGCTGTCGGTTGAAAGATTAGTGATGTCATTTTCTGGAAAGCTCTCCCCTCGCTCCGTTACCTGACACTAGATGGCGCTAGTGCCTGATGTCAACTTAGCCGCGCAACACTGCCCTAAGACATGCTCGTCCCGAGCATTATCGGCACCATAATAACGCGCCAGGTGATCCACATGGACGATCTTAGGAGTCCCTCTTGCGCCCTTCTGTATCCGATAGGTTACATCGTTGATCCTGGTCACAATCCGGTACGGGCCGTCCCATTTAGCTTGAAGCTTAGGAGATTTCCCTTTGCTGCGGACCGGATTGTGCAACCGCACTAGTGAACCTTCGTCGAACCCTTTGTTGTTCATTTTGCGGTCATACCGGGTTTTCATCTTTTCAGACATTTGCTGGCCCGATTGTCTGACGTGCTCATAAATGTCATTCATTTTGTTCCGCAAGTCATTTGCATAATCGGTTATACTGCGTGAGGCATCAGGTGGTATCCCGGTGATCAGGTCTGCAGGCAGCCGTAATTCTCTTCCAAAGTTTGCGAAAGCTGGTGTCACTGATGTACTTTCGTGAACAGCGCTTCGATATGACAGCAAAAACGATTGTATGTGCTTATCCCAATCTCGTTGCCGGTTGTCTACAACTTTTGCTAGGTACCTCTCCAATGTCTGATTAAATCGTTCTACCATTCCATCAAATTGCGGGTGATAAGAAGTCGTTCTTGTTTTATAAGTACCCATAACTCGGCAAGTTTCCTGGAATATTTGAGACTCAAAATTCCTCCCTTGATCGCTGTGAATCTCTAAAGGTACTCCAAAACGACAGAAAACTTCATGAACTAGTTTATCTGCAACTGTTGAAGCTTCTTGAATTGGAATTGCGAAGACTTCTGGCCACTTAGTGAAGTAATCCATCACAACCATGAAATACTTGTTACCGCTTTCACTCTCCGGAAACGGCCCCGCCACGTCAATGGCTATTCTCTCCGATGGTGCACCAACATTGTACAACTTCAATGCACTACTCTACTACGAGTCTGAGGCTACAGCCGCACAACTTGTACATTTGCGACACCAGTCCTCGACATCGTTTCGACAGTGGACCCAGTAAAACCGTTCTCGGATCTTCAGTAGAGTTCGTTTAACTCCCAGATGACCTCCTGAATAATCATTATGGTACAGCTGTAGAACATCAAGTACTTTAGCTTTAGGGACAACCATTTGCAAATGACAGCTGTCTCCCCGAACATTTTCCCATTTACGGCACAGAACTCCATCCTGAAGCAGCAAGCTGTCCCACTGGGCCCAATAGCTTTTAGTGGTCGAACTCATCGCTGAGACGTCACTCCACTTGGGCTTGGGAGCACTGGCCTTCATCCATTCCAGAATTGGCTTGATATCCGGATCTTCCTGCTGCACGTTGTAAGCTGTCCTTCCACTCGTTGCTGAGGTGGTCTGCCCTGAGCATCCTCAAGGATACCACTTCCTTACTCTCTTGCCTAGTACAATGTTTGCAATCTTCAGGACAAGGTCTTCTTGACAATGCATCTGCATTGCCATGAGATTTCCCGCTGCGATGTTCGATCTCAAAGTCGTATTCCTGCAGTAGTTCAATCCACCTCGCAACTTGTCCTACTGGATTTTTAAACTGCAATAGCCATTTTAGTGCAGCATGGTCAGTTCGTATGTGAAATTTTTGCCCCAGAAGATATTTGCTAAAATGCTGCAACGACTTTACCACAGCTAGCAATGCGCGTCTTGTGACACAATAGTTCCTTTCCGGTTTTGACAACGACTTGCTGAAGTACGCTATCACAATCTCTTGATCACCGTTCCGTTGAGACAACACACCGCCGAGCTCTGTATCACTTGCGTCTGTGTCAACTACAAATTCTTTGCTTGCATCAGGGTATCCCAAATAGGTGTTTTGTATAGACGGACCTTGAGCTCCTGGAATGCGATATTGCAACTTTCATCCCAGCAGAAATGTCGCTTCTTTTCGGTTAGCTTATGCAGAGGTTTGGCTATATCTGCAAAGTTCTTCACAAATGCCGGTAGTAGGAGCACAAACCCAAAAATGCTCTAACCTGCGTCTTGTCTTTTGGAACCGGCCAATCCTTGACAGCGGCGATTTTCTCCAGATCCGTGCGGATACCTTCTTCCGATACTACATACCCCAAAAAGTTAACTTGCCGTTTGAACAGTGTACATTTCTTCGGACTCAACTTGAGGTTGGCACTCTGAATCTTCATGAGCACGCGTTCCAGGTTTTGAAGGTGTTCCTCAAACGTACGGCCTACGATGATGATGTCATCCAAGTAGACCACACAGGCATCGCAAATTAGCCCGGCAAGTACAAGTTCCATCAGCCTTTCAAACGTTGCTGGAGCATTGCACAACCCAAACGGCATTACTTTAAATTGCCACAGACCCTTTCCCGTCGAGAACGCAGTTTTCTCCTTGTCCTTGGGGTCAATTTCAACTTGCCAGTAGCCACTTTTTAGATCCAGCGTGCTAAACCACTTTACTCCTGTAAGCATGTCCGGCGTGTCATCAATTATTGGCAAGGGATAGCTGTCCTTCTTCGTAACGTCGTTCAGACGGCGGTAGTCAACACAAAACCGCATGCTGCCATCCTTCTTCTTTACCAGAACCACTGGTGAACACCATGGACTAGAGGAAGGTTCAATAACACCATCCTTTACCATTCCTTCAATCATGGTTTCCACTTCCTTTTCACGTGCTACCGGCAATCTTCTTGGCCGCTGACGGATAGGCAATTCTTCTCCTGTGTATAAACATAGGAAAGACTGGCTTAGTTCAACACAAAATAATTTGTGTTGAACTAAGCCAGTCTTTCCTATGTCAGCATCGTTTGATGAGAATACATCGGCATACTTGAGTAACAACTTCTTCGCCTTGACCATTTCGGTCGGGGAGAGAACGCTGTGACAGTCTTCCAAAAGTGAGTTCACTCTCGTTTGTGCATTCTTGCTGGGAGTCTCACTCGATAGATATTGGCATCGACGTAACCAATCCACTTCCTCACAAGTACCAACCAGCGTGCCTTTTTCTATAATCTGTTCCCGGTCACAAAGGTTCAGCACACGTACTCCTGAGATGCCAGTGGTTCTGACCAAGGTTCGAGCTACTTTCCATGAAAGGTCATTGTTTACCCTTTCCACAAGTACACAACGGTGAGCTTGCCCAGCGTTTCGAGGAAGACTAACCGGAACAATCGTTTCCGATCTCGGCGGAAGAACAGTCTTCTTAATGCTGTACACGTTCCCTGGTAACGCACCTTCCATAAAAAGTTCCTCCTGTCCACATTTCAAAACTCCTTGCTTAACGTCGATCTCACAACAATTATTCCTCATGAAGTCCAGGCCAAGGATGCAGTCGTCCATTATGTCAGCCACGATGACATTATGCAGGTAGATCACGTTGCCTAGCTTCAACTCCATCTCCTTCTCTCCACGGACGGGTATACGCTGACCGGTGGCTGTTACCAAATTAATGCGTTCTCGGTTGTATGCGGAGTCCCCAAGGAACTGACTTATAAGTTGGGAACTAACAACCGTACGAGAGGCTCCAGTGTCTATAGACACGGCATTGCGTTGACCTCGCCCTTGATGATTAGACTGTTCCCATCATGGGCTTGTGAGATCGCGATCCTTGGGGCTCTTTTAACATCAGCCAGCACCCGCCCCGTAGTTCTAGCTTTTACTCGTTTCCCTGCTGCTGCTGGGCGGTGCTGTTGGCCGCACACCCTCCTGAGATCGTTCAACTTCTCTTTCTAGGGTTTGCTTAGGGCAGCTGGATCGAAGATGGCCCTTTTCCCCACAGCCATAGCACCTAGGGCTGTATCCTTTGTTGCGGTCGCGAACTGTAGCTGCTGCAACCTCCCTGACGCGATGGGAACGATGATCCTGCCGCACGGCTTCCACCTCCAGTGCATGGGCCAAGGCGTCCTTAAGCGTCTCGTGGTGCCCGAGCCTCACAGCAGCTCTGACTTCCAGGTCGCGGATGCCGTCGATGAATTTCTGCACCAGGTTCCCTTCAATGAGCGCAGGTACAGACCGGTATGCTTTTCGCACCAGCTTCTCCACCTCTAGAGCCCACTGCTGCAGGTTTTCGTTGATGCGCTGCACGCGATCTTTAAGCTGCGCACGAAAGACGTGTTCCAGGTGAGCGTCGCCATATCTCGCCTCCAATGCCTCAAGGAGTTGCTCATAAGTCACTTCCTCACCGAGAGCTTCCAGAACTGTTAAGGCCTGGTCGCGCAGGCCTGGTAGTGTGAGAGCAGTCATGGCCTGACTTTTATTCCAGCCGTTCGCCTTCATAACAGCCTCGAACTGGATTTTGTAGGCTGACCAGGAAGAGGTACCGTCGAACGGTGGCACCTTGAACCCACGTAGCGAAGGTGTTGTAGCTACTACGGGAGCTGTAGCTCCATCTCCAAGTTTGAGTTCGTCCAGTGATTTATTCATGTCAGTCATTACGTTGTCAACCCGATGGTTTACTTGGTCGATTCGGGTTTCAGCTTTTTCGATTCGGTTTTCAGCTTTCGCGATTTGGGTTTCAGCTTCCGACAGGCGGTTGTCATGCTGAGCAACCCTATCCTTCACCTCCTTTATCTCCTTCCCGAAGGTAGCGTGAAGGTCCTTCATGAGGAGCATCTGCTCTTCCAACCGACGGGCCTGTTCCTCTTGTCCGCCCCGCAGCTGCTCCTACAAACGACGAACCTGGTCTTCCTGTCGGCGGGCCTGTTCCTCCTGTCCGCCCCGCAGCTGCTCTTCCAATCGGCGTGCCTGTTCCGCCTGCTGGCGAGCCTGTTCCTCCTGTCGGCGAGCCTGTTTCCTCCTGCTGCTCTTTCAACCAACGGGCCTGTTCCTCCTGTCGGCGAGCCTGCTCCTCCTGTCGGCGAGCCTGCTCCTGCAGCATCACCACCAGAGCACCTAAGTCAAGTGCTGCAGATGTAGGGGCTACCGACGGGCCTGCAGCCGGTGGCTGGCCCTCCGACGTCTGCGGCGTTGCACCACCAAATCTTCTTTGGTCCGTCTCCTGCTGGCGTTGAATTCGGGTACGGACACCCTCCGTTTCCTCCTTAGGTAAAATCGGCATGATTTTATCCCACTTCTGATACCAATTGTTACGAGCTTGAGGTTCGTGACAATAAAAATTGCCGATAAAATTACCAAAATTAACACTTTAATTTTCTTTACACAAATTTAATCTTAAAACACTAATAATTAATCACACTGATTCACTTTATTCCGCTTCGAAGCTTCGCTTGTCTCGCCTAATTCAATACTTCCCCGATCGCGGCATGCAGCGGGTTTAAATACACTTAGTACCGAATCATCCAGAACATTCAAGTAAATACGCGCACCAATCGACAAAGCGTCGAAAGTTCGAGAGTCAGCTTCCAGAAGCTTAGTTCTTCCTTTCGACAACAGATGGCGCTGTCGGTTGAAAGATTAGTGATGTCATTTTCTGGAAGCTCTCCCCTCTCTCCGTTACCCGACACTAGATGGCGCTATTGCCTGATGTCAACTTAGCCGCGCAACAATATTGACGGACCTTTATAAAAAATTACTACCACTATATATCACGAAAATCTTCAACTTAAATTCTTATAAACTACAATTCTGCCAGAAATATTATTAACGTTATTTCTGAACTATTAATTCCACTCATTGTGCGCGCCATCTAGTAGGGCCGCATTCATAAGAATATTCAAAAATATATATTATAAAATTAAAGGAGAATAAGTACACCTGTTATTGTAGCTGCGATATTCATGCAGTGCGGAGCGGCGCTAATAATATTTTTTATAAATCAGCACGTATGCAAAATAAACGAAAATTTAAAAAAATATACTCAATTAACATTACAATCTAAATAAACAATATTATGACAATTTTCGCGCGTTTTTGTCAACTGCGCATGCGCGACTCTACTGTTTCCCGCGCATGCGCGGATACAGAGTGTGCACATTTTTTGTTTGGAATAGCTTTTCTGGTACATAGTACATATAACTCAATGCTGGCTGGTTATACTCTTCAGACCGGAACACAGCAGTGCAAGCACCTAATGATTTTTTAAATATACGCGAACACTACACATTGAATAAAACTATATTTACGGATTTTATCGGGTTGTTTTAACTTATTTTCAATTCCCGACGTTTCGGGTGCTTTACAGCTTCCATGGAACACGGGTGAGACTAAGATGTTCGTCCCAATGACATAGTTAGCCCGGCTATCTTCAGTTTTAGAATTTTTTTTTTAAATATTAATTTTTTTCTGCGTAGATCGGACATTGGGACGTCAAACATCTCAGACGCCTCCGTGACCATGGGTGCTGTAAAACACCCAAAATGTCGGGAATTAAAAATAAGTTAAAACAGTTAAAATCCATAAATATAATTTTATTCAAAGTGCAAGCACCGCTTATTGTCGACAAAAATAAGTAAGATGGTAGAAAAGAGTAGAAGAGGTATTTACACAGACGGACGCCTGGGCAGAGAGTTCTACTGCCTAATTTTCCATTTGCTTTTACCTTTTTCCAATGCTTTATTATGATGTATTTCGTCTGTTATTAATTATTTGTACAAAAATAAATCTACTTTATCTTATTCGAATGAAAAAAAAAACTATATTTATGAAGATAGCTTGTAATAACTGTTACATCAGGACATAAAACACCTCTGCTCCCCTTGCGCATGGGTGCTGTAAAACACCCCAGGAACGTCGGGAATTAAAAAATACATCATACTGGCGATCTGCCCCGGCTTCCTACGGGTGATATCTATCCTACAACAGCGCCACCTACCGGGTCCAACTACACCTATAACCTACGCGGAAGTGCAAGTAATATGTTGACAAAGTTTTACTGCAGTCTGTCGAACGATATGGCAGCGGATAAAATACGAACTAAATGTAATCTAATATATAAAAATTAAACAAATATTTATTTTTATATATTGGATTAAACGCCTTGAAATCTGTAAACTTTGTTTTATTCAACGTGTACTATTCCCGTGAATATTTCAATTAAATTTACTTTTAAGAAATAAAAACATACTAATTAAGTTATCTCAAATAATACTTAAATTTATTAAAGTTTTGCGTTTATCAGCTTCCACCTTACCGAGAATTTTTTGCTTATTTTAATATACTTTGGCCTAAAAAGATTTTTATACTTTGTTTTTCGTTTATTATAGGAGCTCCGCCGACGTGTACGTTGATATTCCACTAAGGAAAGCTATCGACCTATTCGACGTCAAAGGTTTTAACAAAAGTAATGCCACTGTTCTGTACATCCATGGCTTCATCGAGACGGCGCAACAAGAGAGTATCCAGGTGAATGTTTTATTATGTATTCAGATGAAGAGACCGTTCATACACTAATTAATTATTAAATCTTCACATTAGTTAATTTACCGCAATCTCGGTGATATGTTTCTACTCCTCATGTATGCTATCTCTTTAACCAGCTGTGACTGATTGTATTCCTAAGGTATTCCTAATACTGCATGTTTTATGTTGGGTTTTGTTGTATTGTATAAAAGTGTATCATCATTATTATTTTGTAATGTTGTTTAGTATCAGTCTTTTTTTTGGCTACCAAATAAACCATGAAATTTATTTGCGGAATAGCTCCTACAGGCCTACGATCTCCACCATCGCACAGCTGATAAAAGAACACAAACTCGACGGCGCCGTGGCGCGTTGTCATCAATTGAAAATTGCAGCTCTAAGGGACACGGGCTCGAATCCCTTATAGAAAAACTATTTGTATGGCCTACATATAATTGTTCCGGTACTGGATGTTTGTCCTTTTGAAATTGATGTGTGTAAACTGTCGCCATGGTAGAGGAGAAAATTCAATTGTGGGATGACGTTTAATTAATAAATCTGTTTAAATCCTTCGGGTACACAATATTTATTCAAACATACTCGCATTACAGACCTATGTTTTTTTTAAAATAACTGATGAAATTGTATAAGTAGTATGAAACTACTATGCGGCAGTCGTGACTTTTATAATAATGGCATTGTTAACGGTGACATAAAACAAATTCATATCAATTTAATGCTTGCTTTTATTTTTCCTTGCCGTGTGGAAATACTGGTTTATTTCCACACGGCGAAACGGTTCTAACGGTTTCTTTCTAGGTTGTATAACAAAAGCGTATCATATGAAATGAAACTTTGACATTGTTTTAACTGCGCAAACATAGCCTTGTTATTTTAATAATGAATTAATGGAAAGTAGAAAAGAAAATTCATCGCACTCTTTAAGCAAAATATGTACTATCATTAATATAATGCTCTAGGGCTGCCGATCTTCACTCGGCGTTAGAAAAAATTTTTGAAGTGATAACTTCTTTAGCGGCGTAGTACACTTTTTGTAATGGGTAAAAAATGTCAAACTCGCGTCAGGACACGTGGCCCTGATCAAAAATTCGTAAGACGGATGGAGAGAGAGAGAGACAGCCGCCGCGGTGTAGAAGATGAAGTATCCCCCTCTCCTTCTACGGCGCGGCGAAAATGTATGCCTGTGCCTGCTGCTTCGTTTAGGCGGCGCAGGGCGCTTGCGCGAATGTTCGTGTGTGATAATTAAAGCAATTCGTGCAAAAAATTCCTAATTATTGCAAAATATCAAAAATGCACAACGTTAATATTCAAGTTTTCACTTCTGCCGGCACTCCCGGAATGCAACCCGTCGTTTTATTTTTCTCTGCGGCGACCCGTATATTATTATTAACTCAAAAAGATTTTTTCTTGTTATAAGTTAGTGCTTTACCCACCTGGTGGGTTAAGTGGCGATGCCGCCTTAGATGGTAAATCATACTGTCTTAGCGTAACAAAAGCCTATTCACTCTTGCCTTGAAGACGTCCAGATTGTATTCGGACAGAAAGATAGACGCTGAAAAATTATTCCACTCCTATGATGTAACCATTAAAAAAGTCGAAGCATACGTTCTAATGCGTGGAATATGGACAACAAAGGGGTGAAGACCTGCCGACCGCCTGGTCCTGGTGGTGGAAGGGAGAGGGAGGAATTAAAGCGTGCAATTCCTGCGCACACTCACCGAAATGCATCCTATAGAATACCGAGAGGCTGGCGAGTATGCGCCATTATCTAAATTAAAAATTGATTTAATTTAGAAGTATGTAGTATAAAATGTATTTAATAGTAGAATTTAAATGTTAACATCTCAAGACGGCATATATCTTACAAAGAAAACCCCTTCGCCTTTCTCTATTTAAAAAATGATTTGCTTCTGTATTGTGAAGATATTATATACATAAAATGCTCATGCACAAAAATCTAATATTAAAAGTATCTAATAACAATACTCTCTCATATTTCCATTTTGAGAATTAATTTGTAAAAATTGCAATAATAACGACATTTTTTAACCGGATTTCCACCGGACAAATAAAAATTATAGTATTGTTTGCGTGTGGTTCCGCTGGTGCTTGATGGTACTGAAAATAGCCGTCAATTTCGACCTAATAGGCAACTTTCGAGAAAAAACGCAACATACATTCCACGTTCTCCCATCCTATATCTGAAATAACAGATATAAGATGAAATATAAAATGAAACAATATATCTATAATACGTAATGTTTGTTACCTTGATAAAATACTCCTAAAGCTTACTTGTTATTACCATATTAAATACGAATTTAAATTTATCTTTCATAGGTCATGGTCAACGCATATCTGGAGGCGAGACCGAACACTAATGTCGTGCTCTTAGACTGGTCGAATATGGCGCATGGCTCGTATTTAGTGAACGCAGCTCGAAACACAAAAAAGGTAATAAATCTTTCAGCATTTTAATGTAAAAAAAAATACGGACAAGTGCAAGTCGGGTTTCGCTTTGCTGGAGTTTCGTACATATTACATTTTTAGGTATGTATTAAGTCCGCCCTTTATATCCGTATTAAAAGATGTATAATAAATAAATAAATATTAAATTAAGTAAAACTTTCTAATAATATATGGTCCTTTATTTTGGTCACCGTTTACAAAGACCACTCATGAATCGGCATTTTATGTATTTGTTGTTTAAGTATAGAATACTATACGGTATATAATATAAGTAATGACAACCTAGTTTAAATTTTTAGATAGACCCTGTAACAAAAACTTTCTAAACCTGATATCTTTGAAGACTATGTCTTTGATTTTTAAGTAAAAGAAAATATTTTTTGTGACAACATGATTGTGACATAACGAAATACATAGAAATACATTTCTTATTCCTCATTAAACCATGTATGTTGAGAACAAAAGCTGTAGTGATAATGGGCCGAACATATAGCTCAAAAAGTTGACATGACCGATGAGGAAAAAAGTTTCTTAGCAACCTCGTACCGGTAGGCGAAGTGTAGGGCTCATTAGACAGAGTGACGACCTGGTAGGACGTGCTGTAAGTCGATGGATGCAGGTGGCTCAGGACTGTGCTTTGTGGCATTCTTTGATGGAGGCCTATGAAGGGCTGTAACGATGATGATGATGATGATGATTATACGACCACAAGGACGAATCGGTTACAAAGGGCTGAGCGTTTGGTAGCAGCATGACCTGACTTTCGCTTCCGTTTTTATTTGTGACAGATAACCTAAATAGAAAAAGGATTTAATTCGTACGATTTAAAAAAAGTTCAATTTCTTTGAAATGACACAGTGAATTAAAAATTGATGTTACCGTCTAAATAAGTCCTACAGCTGAGTACAAGAGTTAGAGGGTTTTGGGCTAGTTATTCAAGCAGATTGCTCCAGTACATCCAGGCGAACTTTACAAGTCTTCAAAATATTTTAACTCTCAGACTTGCAAATTGACTCCGAATTGTTGCATCACTACCGAGCCCGTAGTAAATAACACAGAAATTGCAGTTAATAAGTTTATCGTATTTAGAGATAGCTGTTTATATCTATAATATTTTGGTGATCATCTGCACATAATTCTTCTTTTTGTACTTTCAGGTGGGTGCAACTACAGCTGAATACCTCCACCAATTAATAGAAGGTGGCTTGAATTTAGATAAGTTACATTTAATAGGACACTCACTGGGTAGCCACGTCGCGGGGTACACGGCGCGAGAACTTCGAAACAAATACAACAAAATCGTTAAAAGGTTTGAAAATTTTACTATCTATGTTCATCTTTGTTCTCTCTTTTGTAAGTTGTCCCTTTTAGGGTTCCGCTATCATATAAGAAACCCTTTGATTTTTTTCTGTCTACCTGTCCTAATATGCTCATCACCATACCTTCTAAAGTTGTTCACCAAATTAGATTAACATTTAAAAGTATTTTTAAGTACACCTCAGTTTGTTTTTGTTTGGTAGCCCTTTGGCTAATCATTTTGCTACGGCGCTGTGGGTTCGGTTGACGCTCATAATAAGCATTGGTATTACCTACTTGTCAATTAAGCGTTCTACCAAAATTATGTATGTAAAACGTAATGAAAATGAAATAACAGCTTTTTTTCCCGCTTGTCCTCTTTTTCAGAGGTAAAAATTAATAAAGCGACACCTGTAAACAACACACTGGTTGACATAAACATCCATGCCAATTTCCTCACAATGTTTTTTCTTCACCACCAAGCCCGTGGTAAATAAGCACTTAATGTTACAATTAACATTTTTATTGATGACACCAGCCTTGAAGGAAATTAAATAATATTAATAATATCTTAATAACGAATTAAGATATGCTTAACAAATTTAGTCACACTAACTTTAGGCCATTCGTGCCCCTATGTGCGCAGTGGAAAGGCATCACAACTTCCGCATGGCAGCGGGTGGCATCACCCCATCCCCGTAGCTCCCTAGACCAAAACAATTAAACTGATAAATACTTTTAACACTACATCTAAGTACATATTTATACCCAGATAAAATACCGACCTAGGATTTGCTCGCGTACTACAAAACTACAAGCGCTTAGGCCGTTAGCTAATAATATTACCGTGGTTAACGGAATCAAAGTTAAAAGCTGGTATCGTCATCATCATTATCATCATTGACCACATCACAATTCCACTGCTGAACATAGGCCTGCCTCAATTGATGCCACAAAGCACGGTCTTTTGTCACCTGTATTCATCGACAAATGCAGTAATTTCTTACCTGCATCTAATTTGGGACTATTCTACACTTCGTGTACCAGTACTTGGCTGTCAATCGAGTCCCTTTTTTTAGTCGTCAGTTCTTCTAACTATATGGCCGGTCCATTGCCCATTCAGCTTACAGATCGCTGGGCTATTTCGGTGACACTGATTTTACTGCGGATTAAGAATTCCGTCACGTTGAGAAACTCCAAGCGTGGCCCACTCCATAGCTCGCTGAGAGTCCTTAAGCTTCCTTATACGACTAGAAATAAAGGACCACATTTTAAAAGTTATGTACTAATTTAATCTAAAAAACATTCCAGACTTACAGCGCTCGACCCAGCCTTCCCAGCCTTCTACCCAGATGGCGTGGTTATGGAACATATAAACGAGAATGATGCCGAGTTCGTGGATATCATACATACTGACGCCGGAGGATACGGCGCTCCGGTGCGTACTGGCTCTGCAGACTTCTGGCCTAATGGTGGCAAAAGAATACAACCCGGGTGTCCACGATTTGCACCAATACCTCTTACCGATGACAGTGAGTAGAATAATAAATATTTACGAAGAGCATTATAATGTAACGTAATCTAAGCCGTCACGGGTCACGGAGGCTCCCGTGATGAAAGAGATTGGCCTTATTCGCTTATGCTATACAATCTTTTTTTCCATTTTAGTAAAACATAACCTAACAAAAAAATTACAGAGTAAATGAGGGCGTTGTTGGTGACTTTCTGGCAACCCTGAGCAGTGATAAGTCACACATTGCCGAGTTAAGGTGGCTACTCACTTGCCAGCTGCAGGGGTAATCTAGGGTGTACAGCGATCAGGGCGATATCAGAACTGTCTCTACACACATGCTTGCCATTCAGTATGAAAGTGTACATCTCGCCTGACACACGCGTTGAGAATAACTCCAGTTTTATCTAAATATCAATGTATATAGTCTTGGTTCTATTTTATCTATCTACATCAAACACAAAAAATGTTTCTACATATGTCCGTTATAGACTTTGAAACCATAAAGGGAAAACCAAAAAGGAAAGCCAATAATGCGAAGATAGACAAAAACAATGCATTAGGTACTATATGAAAAAGTTAATAAATAAACTAAATTTCCTTTTTTTATTCAATTTATAAACAAAATGTATTTCTTTTTTTTAGCGTAGTAGCATACGCCGGTTATCCACTATTATAGAATAAGGGTGACAAACGAGCACACAGTTCACCTGATGGTAATAGGACACTGTGGCCCATAGACATCTACATTTACCTATAAAACAATTAATTAATTAGTAATTACTAACATACATTATAAGCTGCAGCATGGCTCTACCACTTTTGAAGCACGTTACCACGTTAAAAAAAACGTTACCGCGTTAAAAACGTTACCGCGTTAAAAACGTTACCGCGTTAAAAACGTTACCGCGTTAAAAACGTTACCGGTTAAACTTAACTTTCTAATAAAGTTCTTTCTGCGGTGCTACCGCAAAAAAGAGAAAAAGGAAATACTGGATGAATAAGCCGCTCAATACACTATTGTCACTATTATTTGGCATCCATTTTGACTGGTACTCACACGTGTGCTCTTTGCGAGTCACCTGTGAACTGATAGAAATTGCCCCAATTGGCGGCAGCGGCAAGTAAGGTCTTGCGCTCCTGCCGCCCTGCCACAGGGCCGACTTAGGATATTGCTCCCGCTTGCATACACACACCACAATTAAGGAGGCAATTAAGGATCATCCCCACTCCTATACCCTAGATTACCCCTGCGGCAGGCAAGTGAGTAGCCGCCTTTGGCCAGAAAAAGTGGCATAGACAGATTTCCTAGGTAATTCGTTTGGCCGCCATCGAAACGTCACGCCAGGCTGAACAGTTGCTATAATATTTATAGCCTGAATATTTTTTTTTAATTTTCGGCAATCTATGTATTTATAACCTATTAGATAAAAATATCATTTCGTACCGTTTAATAAAAATAACACTTCAAAAGATTTAACGGCCAATGAATTATTTAATTTGATAATTTTTAACAACGAATATTACATTTTATAGCAAATAATTGTTACGATCCTTATTTTTAGACAAGTGAAGCCCAAATTTTAATGTAATAAAAAAGAAGAATACACGTATTAATGTTGTTATAGAATAATTTCTTTTTAAGAGAATATTTCGGTAAGAAATATTAAAGTTTACATTTTTCTTAAAAATTATCGTCCCCGCTATGAAATCTGTCAAATATTTTACGTCATTGTAAAGTGGCGCCGCCCTGGTGGCAGAAAAAGTCGTGGAGACCTCATTAATGACATATTATTTGGTTTTTACCGGGAGGAAAACCGGCGACGAGGTTCGCCACCCGTCACGTTCTGTCTCCCGGAGAGGCGAAAAGTGGATTGCAGAGGTCCGTCTGGCTACGTTGAATGTATGTGGGGCAATGAATGATAAAATGGATGAAGTATGCGATATGATGAATGATAGAGGAATAGATGTGTTATGTGTAAATGAGACGAAAAGGAAGGGAAAGGATGTCACTACACATGGCATGTATACCGCATACTGGTCTGGTGTAGACGAGATCGAGCGGGCATGCCAGGGAGTAGGTATCATCCTTTCAGAAAGAATGGGCCAATGTGTGAAAGAGTATGAATGTGTAAGCCCAAGACTGCTGTGGATACGAATGAAAGTGGGCTTAAAGAAGTTGTTTGTGTTAGGGGTCTACGCCCCAGACATGTCTAAGCCCACTTATATCCGAGAGCAGTTTTGGGAAATGGTAAGGATGGTGTTAATGGAGTGTAAGGGAAATGAAAATATTATTATGCTAGGAGATTTTAATGGAAGGGTTGGGGTGAGGAGGCTTGGTTATGAAAGGATATTGGGAACGTTTGGTGATGAAAGTATAAATGAGAATGGTGAAAGTCTCCTCACCGTATGTATGGAAAAGAATCTTTTTGTGACGAACACTTGCTTTCGCCACAAGAGGATTCACATGTATACTTGGGAAAGAGGTGACGATAGAAGCATGATAGATTTAATAATTGTGGATGAAAGATTGAGGGGCGCAGTTGTAGATACAAGGGTTTACCGGGGGTTCTAACGTAGGAACGGATCATTATTTGGTTCTATGCCGAATTAATGGTCTATTCAGGCGTTGGCGCCATCGGTCATCTGTGTCTACCACTGCGTTACAGCGTATTAGAACAGAAAGGTTACAAGATGAAGGTGAGAAAAAGAAGTTCAAATGTAGACTGAAAGAAAATATAAGTGGTTTGGATGAATTATGTATGAAGGAGTTAGACTTGGAGAATGTATGGCAAAATGTAAAGAAAGGTTTAGTGGATGCAGCTACCGAAGTATGTGGTGTTAGTAAGAGAAAGAATGAAAGGAAAAATAATACGTTATGGTGGGATGATGAGGTACGTATGGAAGTTGAAGCAAAGAAGAGAGCATGGCTAGATTTACTAGCAACAAAGGCTGGTAATTCTAGCGGTACGAATGATGATATTGAATGAAAAAGGGCAGTCTTTAGACATCTTAATAAGAGAGTAAAAGAAGTAGTTGAAAGAAAAAAGCAAGAAAGAACGGATAAGAATGATAGAAGAATATCGGATAATTTCCAGGCAAATATTAAAATGTTCTGGAAACTTGTAAGAACTGCCAGGGGACATTCAAAACAGCCTATGATGAATGCTATAAGAGACGAGAATGGCTATATTCTGAATGATGAAGTTTTGAGTTTAAAGAGATGGAAGGAATATTTTGAAAGTGTGTTTATGAGTGAGGAGACAACGTGTGTACTAAGTGAAGTAGAAATTCCGAAAGAAGAGGAAAGAGGTAGCGAGATTAGTGTAGGTGAAATAATGAAAGCAATGAAAAGCATGAAAGCAAGTAAGGCTGCCGGATATGATAGAGTTTCACTCGAAATGCTAAGGGCTGGAGAGGAAGTGGTGGCAGGCCTGCTGCACACCTTGTTTAATTTATGCTGGGAACTGAAGCGGGTACCGGTAGACTGGTGCAAAGCCGTGATAGTCCCAGTATATAAGGGAAAAGGGTCGCAGCAGGACTGTAAAAACTACCGTGGCATCAGCCTTCTTAGCATTGTGGGAAAACTGTATGCTAAGGTACTGATTGAAAGGGTCATGAAAGAAACTGATGGAAAAATTTGGGATGTGCAAGCAGGATTTAGAAAGGGAATGGGATGTACAGATCAAGTCTTTTCCATGCGCATGATCGCGGAGAAGTTTTTGGCCAAAAACCAAAAGGTTTTTTGTGCGTTCATGGACTTGGAAAAGGCCTATGACAGAGTGAATAGGGATGTGCTATGGCAAACACTGAACTCATTTGGGTTGAGCGCTGGCTTGATACGGGCATTGGAGTCCCTTTATAGGGAATCTAGTGCTTGTGTTAGGATCAACGGGGTCTACTCGGACTGGTTTGACATCCATAAAGGTGTCAGACAGGGCTGTGTAGCTTCCCCGTGGCTGTTCAACCTATTTATGGACAGTTGTTTGCAAAATTTGAAAGTTGAAGAATGCGGATTAAGAATGGGTGAGTTAACCGTCAAATGCCTTTTGTACGCCGATGATCAAGTTATACTTGCGTCGTCGGCGGCCGAGTTGCAAATGATGGTTACATTAATGAACAGATCATTAAAAGAAAGGGGTATGAAAGTGAACGCAAGTAAGACGAAGGTTATGGTTTTTGAAAGAGAAGAAAGTAAAACGATTTGTGAAATAAGAATAGAAGGGGAGTTGATCGAGCAAGTAGATGAGTTTGTATATTTGGGCTGCGTATTTAGCAGGGATGGGAGATATGATAAGGATATAGAACGACGAGTGAATGCGGGAAATAGAGTAAATGGGGCCCTGCACTCTATTGTGAAGAGTCAAAATGTGTCGAAAAAGGCACGTATGGCAATTCACAATGCTGTGTTGGTCCCTACTTTAACATATGGTAGTGAAAGTTGGGTGTGGCAGAAGAAGCACGAGAGTAGAATGAACGCAGTAGAAATGCGGTCGTTAAGGAGTATGTTAGGGCTGAATCTTAATGACAGGGTAAGAAATTGTGTAATAAGAGAAGAGTGTGGTTTGCAAGATGATGTTGTGACCAGGATTAAGAAAGGAATGCTTCGGTGGTTTGGTCATGTGGAAAGAATGAATGAGGAAAGAGTGACAAAGAAAATTTATGTTGCAGAAGTGAATGGCAGAGTCGGAAAGGGACGTCCTAGGCGAAAATTTATCGACCAAATTGGCGATTTATTGAAAACGGGCCAAATTAGGAGTACCCTTAACCGACGAGCATGTATGCGGAGGTGTATGGATGTGAAGGAGGCGAGAGAGGTGTGTCAGGATCGTGCCAAATGGAAGTCTGTAGTCTCTGCCTACCCCTCTGGGTGACAGGCGTGAGTTGTTTATGTATGTTTTACCAATTAAATACAATAAATATAAGATCATAGCAGAAAAATGTTTTTGTCATTCACATTTTTTTACTTTTCAACAAAGTCCCAAATTCTTATGTGGCCAAGGGCCCCAGCATGACCTAAGA